CCATATAATTATCTTTAACGAACAATAATAAAATTGTAAATTTTGTTGTTCACACAGAAGTATTTGCCAAACAAAGGTTTGTTCAGCTTTCTTATCGCGAATGTAGTATATGCTGTATCTAGAATTTAGTTTTATCTTTTATAACGTATTATATGATTTATTTAAACAAAATGGAGGATGTATGAATGAGAACCTTAATGAAGTCTGCCATGGGAAAGGGAAAGGCGATGGTTGTATCCAAAAAGAACTTTTGTTTTATAAGACTTAAATACCTTTAGAGAATTAAGGTACCCAATAGCAATAAAACACTTATTTGCAATGAAATCAAATTGGTAAAAAATCAGAAATGGAGGATATCCTCAATTACATATAAAAAACTAAAACATATTCTCAAACAGCTGAATACTTTTCTTCAAATGTTTGTTACAAAAAATCAACATAGTTTAAGAATTATTAAAAAAGTTCACAGAAAGGTACCTTAATTCTTAAGTATCTTTAAAAACTTGATATGCTTTTTGTCATGTGAATAAAATAATGTAATTTTAGAATTTCTTCTTACTTATGGTATTGAATTATTAAAGTATTTAGGAAATTTTTTGTTTCTTATATTGTAGTTCGAATCCTGAAAAATAATGTTTGCATTGCAACAAAATCAAGAATATCAATAAAATATAAATACCTGTTCTCGTTTTGCTGTTTTTTCCTCTTTTTCCTTTTTTCGCACTTCCAGAAGATATTCGTTGAAAAGGCTCTCTCGTTCTCGCATCTTTTCTACATTCTTAAACCGTTCATCACGCCCATGCTTTTGAGCAAAATCACTAAATGACGATCTACATAAGAAATATTAATTAATTGTCTAATTATTTAGCAAATGAAGATTGTTTTCAAAATCTAAAACAAAATTGACGAAATCTTTACATACTTCCCATGAAGACCAGCTTCTTCTAATAGTTTCTGGAATTGTTCTTTTCGTTCCTTCATTTTATTCCTCTTTTCCCGCCTTTCTTCTTCTGCTCTCTCCTTTACATATTTCTCGAAGACCTGTTTCCTCTCCTTCGATGTCAAAAGTAGGTAACGAGGATCGAATACTATTTTATGGAGTTCTTTCTCCCATGTACTAAATGCGGACACCTATAAAATGTTTAAAAGAATATGCACAGTGTTACATTCATTATCTATCTAATCACATTAAAATAAAATAAAAATTTTACATCTTTCTCTGCAAGCATATCCCTAAATGATTTAATCCGTGTTTCCAGAGGAACAATTGCTCTTTCTCTGGCAGCTCGAACTTCCGCTTCTATTGCAGCCTCTTTGCCGATATCAATGGTTTTCTTATTTTCCTTTTCTTCCTCCTCTTTTGGTGCTGCTACTGTTATTAAGAACAATTATTAATTTCATGTTTCTTTTTTTAATATAATGCATAGAAATTATACGTATAAAATTTACTTTTAGTTTCTTCTTGTTTCATTTTTTTTGCTGGTGTTGGCTGGTCATCATCACTACTCTCACTTGTATCTGACTGACGAGTAGTTTTAGTAGGTACCACTGCATCTGGAGGAGTAGATACCATTTTGTCAACATCTTGACGACCAATAAGATCATCTGGTCTTTCCCATACTGAAATTCGTGAAGAAGGATTGTAGAAAAATACACGTCCATCGCCCGTCCAAACAACACACCTAAAAACAGAAAGTTTTAATCTATATTCTATATATACGTTATAAATACGTTGGATTAATGTTTAAAAGTATACCAAGGAGTTCCAGGCACTGGAGTGCTTGAAATTGGTCTAGATTTATCTTGAGGTTTAACAACCTCCTTAGGCGCAGTTTCTTCTTTTTTAGGTTTGTTAGTATCTGCTTCTTTTATACTATCTTTGGTTTCGTGATTATTTTCTTGTTGCTTCTCTTGTTTGGTGGGTTCAGTGACAACATTATTATTAGTGATTGCAGAACTAGTAACAGCAGTATTTGTAGAATTTACAGCAGCTTCTTCTGCTTTTTGCCGTAATGCTAATTTTGCACCTGATATAAGATTTAATTATAATTACTGTTGTACTTAATGTTTTATTTAGAAATTTAATAAATTGCATACTTTCGAGATCTTTTAAAGGCTGCGGCTTTTCCCAAACAGATTCACCAGCTTTACTGTTGTAATAATATAACCTTCCATCTGGAGCACGATGTTCTGTCCATACCATAGCAGAGGCAACCAGTTCCTGATCAAGTTGCGCTAATACGGCAGGATCTTCTGCTGGCGTCTGTGGAGCCATTACTCCATGTGGCATTTGTGGCATACCTAATACATGTTATTTTTTTTTACATAAAATAATTAGTAATTATAAGACTGTCTTTTATATAATATATGCATAGTTCATATTACCCCAATTTGCTTGAGGTGGACCATAACCGCCAAAAGGTTGAAAACCAGGTGGTGGCATACCAAATGGTGCTGCCCCAAATTGTGTTGCAATTGGACCCCCAAACTGGTTTGGCATTCTATGTTGCATAGGTATCATATTAGGGGGTGGTTGCATCATATTTGTATTTACTGATGGTGTATTCATAGCTGGAGTACTAGTGACAGTTGCAGGTGCTGTACCTAAACATTGATAAAAGAATGAACATTTTTTTTTAGTAATATTTAAAATTTATCAATTCTAATTTTCATTAAATAAAAATGACAATACCATTTGTTTGAGTTGCATCGGATGGTTGTGTGGTAACATCCGATGTTTCACCAAGCGTAGGAGGTGGACCTGTACCAGGTGGAGCTGTACTAAGTTGGTTCATAACATCCGTATTATTTGTAGATGGTTCACTATTTTGAGATATTCTGTTCTCACTAATTTGGCTTGGTGTAGTAGCTGTAGATGTAGGAGTATTAGAAGGGGCTGCTTGTTTAGATGCTCCATGTACCAATTGTTCTAACTGTAGAGGAATTATTATATTCACAAATATATTTGGTTAAGCAAGTTTAAAGGAAGAGTACAAAAATAATTTTACAAACCTGGTCTTGTACCATGACCTTAACGTTTGGGCCCTCTGGTTTTGTCCATGTAGTTTCTCTTGTACGAATATTATAGTAATATGATTTCCCATCTGGTGTTTTTGTTTCTACCCATACTTCCCCATTGAGATCTAAGCCTGGAATGTTTGCTTGTTGTTGTGTCTGCTGCTGCGGGGGTTGTTGTTGACCTGGAATCTGTAACAATATTTCCTGTTTTGCATTTTAATACTCATGAGATCTACTAACATTCTGTAAATCGAAATTTACGTTATTCATATTTGGTGGTCCCATTCCAGGAGGTGGTCCGTATGGTCCCGGACCTGTACCAATTGGGCCATTCATCATGTGTGGCGGTGGCTAATAGCACATAAAGTTAAATAACACTTATTCAACTTATTAGGAAAATTGTGAATGAATAACTACCATTCCTGGAGGTCCCATTAAATTTGGCGGTCCCATCAGATTCGGTGGCCCCATAGGTCCCCAACTAGGATCAAATGGTGGAGGTCCCCTAAAACGTGGCCCAGCTGGTCCTGGTGGACAGTTTGGCCTAGGTGGTCCCTCAAATGGAAATCCATTATTTGCTCCACGAAACATCGGTCCTCTAGGTCCAAATCCTCTTCCTCTAAACCTTGGAGGCCCACCTCTCATGGGGAAATCAAACCCACCTCTGCCACGACCCCTTAAATTATTATTACATATCTTGACTGTGTACTTTACGTACCATACGTCTGAATCATTCACCCATGTGTAGACAACATCTTCTTCCTGATTCTAACTTTACATTGAAAAGATAAATATGTACATAAACAATAATTTTATGCATAATACAATTATTAATTTTGAATAATATATTTATAAAGGTTTCATTACCTTCTGTTACTTAATACTCCAAAATGAAGAAAAAAGTTAACTCTAACAAATGAAAATTTTATAACACAAACTGTATAGAAAAATATCAATAAAACACTATACTGAACAATTGTGGGCAAATCATTTCATCGTATAGGAGCGTAAGTAGAGACAATAGTCATATTCCATGGTATTTAATTAAAGTATTAGATGTTTATTGGAATACAAAGTTCGATCGCTTTTATTAGATATATTTAAGGAGGTGAGGTGGGATTGCGGATAGGACGACTTAACCTTACTTTTTGCTTTTTTATTTTTGACGACGCGTAACGCGACGGATATATGGGGGGTGTGTGTGTGTTAGGAAAAACTGTAACGCACCTAAAGCCTCCTCGTCCCCGAGGTATGAAATGTCTATAATCTTCTCCATCGTAACCATAATCCTCAGTTTCTTCCATACACTCCTCATTGTGCTCCTGTTCATTATTAGAAGCGGTTTCCGTAGATGCAGAAGCTTGCTCGGTGCTCGCTTCCATTTTACGATAATACAGAAAATAATATTTTCTTTTCTATACGCCCATCTATTTCTTTCTTCAGGCTTGCACAAAAACGCCGCAAACAAATCACTATTTTATTCGATGTAAGCCGTAAACATATTACTGCCAACATAAAAATTGAATTCTCCTAGACGTTCTGACAGTGGCGCAAACGTAACGGCTGGCAATTATCATCTTGCGTTGCCTACTATCGTTTCTACGTTGTTATAGAAATTCTTTCTAGAAATTATGCAAATTATACTGATAATTATTGTTTATTATACCATTATTTATGTTTAAATATGTATCATGCATGCAAATACGCAAATAATATACCTAATATATGCTTATGTTTTTTATGCGCAAACTACGATGGAATTTTTTTATATATTTGCACTATCCATTTCATAAATATCTATGTTAA